TCCCGACCGGTACCCCGACCCGAAGCACCTCAGTCACCAGCTTCTCGTTATAAAACTGCTCCGCAAACGCCGGCCACGTCACCATCGGCACCCCCGCGCACACCCCTTCCAAAATCGAGTTCCATCCACAGTGCGTCATAAACGCCCCCACGGCCTCGTGCCCCAAAATCGTCAGTTGTGGGGCCCACCCTCTTATCACGAGCCCTTTCCCTCTCATCCGCTCCTCAAACCCTTCCGGCAGTGGATCCTTTGTTCCCTCGTGCCTCACCGTCCAAACGAAGCCGTGGCCCAACGACTCGAGCCCCGCGGCAATCTCGTGCAGCTGTCCCCGCGTGAACGTGACCATGCTCCCGAAGCACATGTACACGACCGAGTTGGACTTCTTCGAGTCGAGCCACGCGAGGCACTCGTGCTCGTTGATATCCGACTCTTTCCCCCTCTGCGGCTTGTTGTTATTGCATAGTAGGAGAAGCGGGCCCACGTGCCAAGCCTTCAACCCGAGCACATTCTTGTAGTGATCGGCGTAGTCCGGCTCGAGCTCGTAGAAGCTATTGACGACAACACCGAAGCTCTCCTTATCCGACTTGACCATCTTCTTCCGGTGGCTCAAAAACACGTCGTCGTGCCCCAAATAGTAACACGGGACTTGGCTCCGAACAAACGTCACCTTGTGGGGAAGGCCGGGAAGGACAAAAGCGTCCGAGTCGGAAGATAGGCTCTCGAACATCAGCTTGTGGGCATGCATATGCTCGGAGGCGCAAAGGGCAAATGAGCCCATGCCGTGGAAGACGAGCCGTGGTATGCCGAGCGAGTTGGCGGGTCCCACCGTCCATGGGTGGAGCATGTCCGAGACGAGACAACTGGCGTTGAGGTGGCGGAGGAGGCGCTCGAGCGGGTCCCCAAGGAGGGCCGTGGCCTCGAAGAACTTGGCCAGGAGTTCGGGGTTAGGGACCTGGTCGAGACTGACGATGTTTTTCGGGAGGAGGGAGTTTTCGGGCGGGAAGTCGAGGGTCTCGAGGCCGACTTCGTGGCCGGATGAGCGGGCGCGCTCGACGGGCGGGGCGAAAGTAGGGGTGGTGATGATGGTGGCCCTGAGGCCACGGGAGGTGAAGAGCTTGGCCAAGTCAAGGGTGGGGATTATGTGGCCATATGCCATGGCTGGGAAAAGGACAATATGCAGTTGTCCCATTCTTTCTTTTTTGGTTTAAGATTTTGTTTGAAGAGGTGAAGTTTGAGGCTAAAAGTGGGGGAGTATATACATATAGATCGATCAATAAAATAAGACAAATGATAGAGAGCAATAGTCATTTAAGTTCAAGGCTTTTTGGCTTTTGGTACAAGAATATCTGCATAAGTTTGATTTTGTTCACACACACACACTTAAATAGAGTCGTGTGTAAATTGTAATCGTAAGATGATTTCAATACACGCTTGGATGAATGTGTGAATGTGTCATATGATGCTGCTTTTTCTTTTAGAAAATTATGTACTTTTTTTTTTAACCAATCACGGTATCCAGAGCTTTGCCCTAACTAATTCGTTGATCAATCCGAGTCGACATTTATAAGAACTTGAACCCGAGATTTTACTTAAACGACATCAAACTACTTACCACTTGAACCAACCTTTTTGTTGTTTTGAAATTGAATGCAATGAGCATGATCACATACATATCGTTATGACGTTTGAAGTGGGTTTTAAGAAGGGAAAAAATGATGAGGTCACTAAGTAAAATCACTCTTTCTGGAACTTTAAGTGCTACTATCGTGCGCTCTGACACACTTAGCAAAGTGTACCAAGACAATTTAAATGTTTACACATATTCATTTTATTATGTATTTTTATTTTATTATGTAACATGTTCATTTTAAATTGTCTTAACACACCTTATTAAGTGTACTGGAGAACACCTAATTATTTTGCGGTTTTTTGCGGTGTCATTCAATGTACATGTCAAAAGGTTATGACGTGTCATCATGACGATGCAATAATGCCCCGGATATAGGGCTTTTCGTCATTCTTTCCGCCGCAATAAAGGCTTGAATTGATTCTATATTCGACACGGCATGTTTTATTTTATTACATAATTTATACGCTTTTTAATTCTTTTTAATTAACCTATAATTAGGACAATACAATGTACAGGGTGTTTGAGTTAAGAAATATGAGAAATGATCACCTACTTATCGTGGGCATATGTTAATATGCCCACTGCGTAGGTGACATGCACTCATTGATGATGTATTTTTTAAAACATATTAACATCACCAATGAGTGGATGCTATTTACACGGTGGACATATTTTAACATGTGCCTACTGTGGGTAGGGGAGCATTTCTAAAAGAAATATATAATGAAAATTATTGATATCTAATACAAACCTAACTTCAGAGCAACAATAATATAAAAACAATATCACGAAATATAGATTCTTGTCATGTCAGCATCCGAAATATGAGAAGTTGCCATTTAGACTAACACGTTTTGAATTAGGGTATGTTTGGTATGACATATAAGCTAGCTTATAGCTTATTTGATTAGCTTATAAGCTTCCTGTATTAAATAAGACCTGTTTGGTAGGACGAGCTTATTTAAAAAGCTCGAGCTTATTTGATAAGCTTGTTTAGGTAGCGTTTCAAAATAAGCTCGTTGAATTTTTTATTTCAGCTAGCTTATAAGCTACTTTTACCAAACACTTTTATCATATAAGCTAGCTTATAAGCTATAAGTCATAAGCTATAAGTTATAAGCTAGCTTATCACATATAAGCTATCAGCTAGCTTATCAGCTATCAGCTAGCTTATCAGCTAGTTTTACCAAACACACCCTTAATATATAAGGAGAGATATCATTATTGGTACATCTGTTATACAACCAAAAAAAAACTAATAATAATAATAATAAAAAAAAATTGACATCTATATTATTAAGATGCAAGAGCTGTTGCAAAATTATAAATATTCATATAGTCCAGGTTAAATTTTACTTTGAAAAATTACAATAGGTTGCAAAGTCCATGTAATATCGTAATTTTTTGCATTAATTCGAAATCTGTAACTATTCACCGGGTTATGTTTCTTAACATAGGATACTTGGAGGATTCACTTGAAGAAAAAAAAAAAAAGAAGATTCTATTATCCTAAACTTTTCATTGTCCTCAAGTTGAGATGGAGTGGGGTTGTAAAGAATGATACCACTTATGTGTCTTGTGTCCCAGCATGAGGGAGAACATCCTACATCTGAGGGTGTCCCCGGCCTCCTGATGGTCCATTCAGGACGTGTACAAGGTGACGTGGGCGTCGGGGTCTGAGCATCCATCATATAGTCCAATTTGGGGCACTTTGACCTTCTCGGGCAGTGGTTCATAGAGAATGTCTTCGGAGAGCAGGGAGGCCGTGTCGAAGACGCAGCTGCCGAATCTCTGGAGAGGTGGCGGTGGTAGTGGCGACCTGCTGCTATACTTTTTCTGAGTTTTGAGATCGACAATCTTCTTTTTTAAGGCATCGACTTCATCAGAGTCGCGGTTGGTTAATTTTTCTGTGAGGATTGTCTGCCTCAGGTCAGGCTCAGGGTCTCTTTGACTGCCGAGACGGTGGAATACTAAAGTAACAGGTAGCCTAACCCGAAGGCTTAGAGCTGACCTGCTTGCACCGATCTCCTGCGTCAAGACTGGGTTGACCGTCTTTTCTTTGCGGGTCATAGCCGCGTGGTTCGGGGACTGAGTCGTTGTTTGCGACTGAAGGTTCCCCTTGTCTCTAATCCCGGCGGCGTTTCGTTCCTTTTTTTTTTGTCCAGTGACCTTAGCATGTTAGTTATTTTGTATATTTTTGTTGGTGTTTTAGGTGTTCCTAAGTGTTTTGTTTGTGCTCATTTTAGTTTATTTTACATTTTTCTCGATTTATTTAGGCTTTTTTGCTTGATTTTGTGTTTTCGTGTCATTTTGGTGTCTTGTGTTTTTTTATCTCTTTGTATCTTTATTTTGAAGGAAAATTTCATTCTGGAGAGTTGATCGAGAAAATCTCGGTGTTGTCCTACAAAAGACGAGCCATTGCCAAGGACCCATGTTCTGCTGCTTTGTACCAGCACGTTGTTGCGCGAGAGCTGCCCGCGTCGAAGAGAGTTCGTGCGCGAGAGCCTTTGTTGTGGAGAGGACCTATGTTCCTTTGCCTTGTACCAGCAATGCGCGCCGAGAGACGTGGCTGTTGTGTGTTGTTGAGAGACCGCGCGCGACGAGTGTCGAGGAGGAAAACACTCGCGGGCTGGCGACCGTTCCTGCTGCATCGCGATTGTCGCACATCGCCTGCTCAGCCTGCGCCGGCGCCCGCTCCTTGTGTCTCATCCGGCCAGATCTTGAGTGTTATGTTGGCTTCTCCCGCGGCCTCACGTACCACCCGACCAGCTTGCGAGTGTCGCGCATCACGCGACCTGCACGCCCGTCAGGCCACTGCCCGCGAACAACGAACTTCCCAGCATCTTCGCGAGTGCGTCAACTGGTCGACCCACGGACCAGCGGGTGTTTTATCCATGGTTTTAAAAACCGAACCGATCATCGAATCGGTGAAACTACCAGTTCAATAGTTCACTTGTCGGACCAATGGTAGAACCTGTTTAATAATATATATAATTTTTTATTTATATGTATAATATATACTTATATATATTTTTATCATTAACTTTATAGATTTTATAGTGTATAATGATATTAATCTAAATGAAAGTTAGTAATAGTGTAATTTTGTAACTTAATTGGAAATAATAAAGATTATATTTTTAAATTTTTATGAAACGATAAATAATTTTGGCAGAAAATAAAACTCAAAAGATATTATATTGCGAAATTTATATGAATTTTTTAAATTATCATTTTTGGATTGTAATAGACATTGCACAATTAAAAACATCAAACAATTATTTAAAAAAAGAAAAAGAAAACTCAAGAGTCAAAACAAAGCTTCATATAATTAATTTTCCCAACGACCCAGCCCCATCTTGACCCAATTCAAATTTGAGCTTTTGTTATGAATAACGGCGAATTTTTTTATGTAGCACAAAAATATACATATTTTGCAAATTTACGAGATCTCATATCTTCTTAGCAAGGATACTAAATTGAAGTGTATTTATTATATGGTGAATTCAAAACGGCCGGACTAAAAGGAATCCCACCTTCCTACAATCACGCATCATAGAAATTCAGTTAGGAAAAAAAAACAAAAAAAGTGGATATAACTTACTTGTTAGGAACCTTTTTTTATATCAGAATACAAGAAAATATAATTTGAAATTCTAAAATATCACTCTCTCAAAATACAGAAAAAACACGACAAGATATACAACTCATCAAGATCCGACAGATGCTCGATGGTCATGGCTGCGGTTTCAGGTCTTAATACGGGTCTTGGATTCAATTCAATCAGTTTAAATATACAGAAGATATACAAAAACTATACATAAAAGATATAAATAAAAGATAAACCAATCTAGTCATTATATACCGAAAATATACCGAAGATACATAAGATATACACAGAAGATAAACGGAGTTTGTCATTATATACTAAACATATACCGAAGATACACAGAAAAATAAACATAAATTTCAGTGATAACCGATAACAAATATTTTTCACTGGACAAAGAATATTTTCTGTATATGTTGCGTTTATATTCAGTATATGTTTTGCTCGACTTGGACAAAAAATATTTTCCGTATATGCCCAAAATCAAGTTCCCACCGCCCTCAGTTCGCCGTTCGACAATCCCGCCACTCTTAGCCGAAAGGGACTGCCGCATGATCCTATTCATCCTTCAGCCATCGAAAACGCCGGTTGCCGCGCCACTCCCCCTGCCAGTCCTCCATCAATGATGATTCATTTCTCGAGACGCTGAAAAGAGAAGAAGTAATGCCGAAAGAGACGTAAGAAGAAGAAAAAATGGCTGACAGATGCGCCCTCTGTCAAAAGAGAGGATGAACAGTGATTAGGCGTGAAAGGTGGAGATGGTTTTTATTTTATTTGGTAACTGCTCCTAATAAAGTTGTCTATATTGAATATATATCGTATGTTTGCAAATAAAAATTACATGATCGTAAGAGTCCAATTAAAAGAAGATTGTGTCGTGCCTTGAGTAATTATCTCAATAACATTACCTCTTCTCTATATATTGAGGTGGGCTTCAATCTCAGCCCAAATTAGGTGTAGCCCAAATCTTCATGGCCCATCTTCTCTCCCAAGGAGCACATGTAAGTTACTTATCCCACATTAGAAACATGAAATACAATCAGCTATTTAAACAATAACATTGACACTAGTAGTTAAGCTCCTGAGCAGGAGAATGAGCACTTAGACCAACTCCAACCGAAAAACCCATACTCAAACCAATTTTGCAGTAATTGTCCTATGTTGCAGTAATTCATCTCCAACTTAAAAACTCATTGTCAAATTCAAAAGAATATTCTTAGAATATTCTCTTTTACATAAACTTTTATAACTTTTCAATACTACCCACATATTTTACAACTTTACAAATTAAACCACACTATTATTTTAAATTCAATTTGGACTTTATGTAATTAAAATTAGGCCTAATTGCTCAAAAAACCATGACCTTTTTGAAATTTTCATTTTTATGATCCACTTTTAAACTTGGCAAAAATATGCACCACTTTCATATTGTTTGCAAATTTATGATCAGGGCCCAATTTCGGGCTTTTTTAAACGACGTGGATTTTTTTTCCAGATGTGTCAATTGTTGTTTCTAATCGATATTCCACGTCTCAAAGGCCTATATAAGACTGAGAATCTCATCTTCAATCGACGACCTCTTCTGAAAAATCCCCAAATTTCCTCAAACCCTAAATTTCGAACGAAAAGCATGTCTTCATCGACTTCTCAAAGCTCTGGCCGATATGTTTCGCCTCATTCAAGTCAAAAAACTTGTGAGCATGGGGTGGACGTGTTTACGTCAATGACTCAAGAAAATCCGGGGAGGAGTTTCAGTCGGTGTAGTCGAAGGAAGGTGAGCCATTTTACCGAGGTCACTTTAGTATGATTTTCATGTTTGTGGTCATTTTGAGTGCCTTGCATTTTTATTCTGTATTTATAGGGCCCCGAGAACTGCGGTCATTTTGAATGGATCGATCCAAGTCTTCCTCCATTTCAGAAAGGTTGCTTTGTGAACTTGATGGGTCAGAAAAGGAGTTTGGAAGAACAATTAAGGTGCAAAGAGGTTATGGAAAATCTGATGACTGAAAGGATGGCAATTAAGGTATCAGAGATTGAGAAGGTGCAAGATCTCTATGAGCAAACTCAATATTTGTTGGAGGTTCAAACCTTGAAGTGTGAAGACATGGAGAAGAAGATGAAGATTGCAATGGACAAAGTGAGCAAGCTCCAAAGAATGTTTGCAATGGCAGCAATTTGGCTTATAATACTCATATTCATAATACTGATATTGGTTTATTCAAAAAGAGACAATCTGAAGTGAATAAGTTTCACCCGAGCTCCTTCAACTCGAACCGGCCTCCGTACCTGCAGAACCCAACGCCGGGGGTGGCCCCGGCGTCGGGCCTCCGATGCTTAAGTCAGATCAAGAGAGAGAAAGTGTAGTAGTGGAATGAGAAGAGAATGGGAGAAAGGAATACCTCAACCCCCCTTTTATAGGTGAAGTGTACCTTTTTGGGCCCAAGTTGGGCTTGGCCCATATCGCGGTGCTATATGTCTTTTGTCCGCACGTGGGCTTATCTTCCAAAATGTATTCGCTCTATCTATTAAACCGGGTCCAGTATAATATCATATATCACAATCGTTCTAATGGATACACTGAGTTGGGACAATTGAACTTTGTAGGGTAGGATGTGTGCTTTCTGATGTGTTGGTGATGAGTATGAGATGTGTTTGTTGTAGTGTGCTGGTTTGATGAAGGATTGTTATGAACTGAATGGATCAATGTGATTGTTATGTTTTGAGGCTTTTGGTAATGAAATGAATTGATGAACTGAATGGATCAATTGTACTTTTGTTCATCTGTTTTGTTTTCTAATGTGTTGGTGAAGAATTGTTGTTTTTTTCTTTATGTTGTGTTCTGTAGGGCTCAAACCATAACCATAAACATAGAAGTAGAAAAAACATAACAAAATCTTTCTTGAGTAGAAAAAACACAACAAAACCATAACCAAAACATAACTAGTAGAAAACATATTGTCAAATACATACCATCATCATAACCAAAACATAACCATTACAACTGATCACCAAAAGTATCCATGGCCCTAAACCATCATCAACATAGCCCTAAACCATCATAAACATAACAGAACAACTGATTACCCATCACAGAAGTAGCAAAACAAAGTGAATACCCATCATAAAAGTAGCAAAACAAAGTAGCAAAACATCTGAACATTGAAATCAAAGTAGCAATGATAGTGACACTATGAGGCTTCTGCCACACTTTCTTGAGTCCCCATATTTTCAGCTCCTTGGTTGTTATCTCCAGTTCTCTTGCCTTTCTTTTTGCTACTCAGGGTTGATTTTCTTGAGGGTATAAAGTGAATACCCTTTCCAGATGACATCTGAACATTGAAATCACAAGATGTTGACATCTAATATCCTCTTGTAAGTGGAAATTTCAAAGACTTATACTATGTTTAAACTCACTTACCCGCATGTATACATTTCCAGTTTCTTCAGACTGCAAAATCCTCAAACCCTTCATAGCCTGTAAAAATTAACAAAATATAACAACATGCTTTGTATAGGATAAAACACTAAAACACAAAGGTTAGCAACTCACCATGGCTCGTTCCTTATGAATGACTGTATCACTAGATTGCTTCTTCTTGAATCTTGTTGAAGTCTTTCTGCTGATCCTACTTGGTTCACACACAGTGCTACTGGACACACCTCCAACTGGTTCAATGACAGGTGCTGCTGGTACCTTCCTTGGCCTCCCCCTCTTGTTCTAATTTGAAGTAACAAAAGGTAAGAAAAATGTTAAAAAACAAAGAGTAAACTAATGACAGATACTAACCTTTGGTTGTTTTGGTACAGGGTCTTTCAGACAAGTCTTTTTATTGTGTCCCTTCCCTTGACACCTCTGGCATGTCATCTGTAGGCCAAACCTCTTAAGCTTTGAGTCAGTCTTTCTTTCTTCCTCTGGTGCTCTTCTCTTCTTCTTCTTAGGCCTGCCTGGCATTTTCTTAAAAGGGGGTGGTTTCACTGGATAGCCATCAGCAACAGGCCACATATTTTTCCCATTCAATGGCTCAAGAGAGCAATTGTACATATTCATGTACCTCTCAAGGCTGAGTAGATTGGCCGAGGTTCATCTTCGGTGCCGAGGTTGACTTCTTTCAACTTATCCTTCACTTCGACTGGATCATCATCCAACTTTCGAAAAACACGCTTGTCTCGCTAGGAGGGCAAGGTTAAATAATTCAAAATCCTTAAACCACAAAGTCAGCTGGGTCTTTATGCAAGAAGTGAATGGCAGAGCAAGCATGAATACATGGAATCCCACAAAGGTCCCATGTTCTACAAGTACAAGTGTTGGTCGTCAGGTCTACCACATACTGCTCATCATCAATACTCACTTGAAATCTATCTCCAACTGCTGGTTGGGTAGTGCACAACCTTGACATGAACTTGTTCTGTTCTACCTTTCCTCTAATCCTAGGACATATGGAGTCAGTTATTCCACTAGCTCGTAAAAGCTTTCCATGCTGTCTTGTCATTAATTTAGTCCTAATACCCTCAAGCATATCTATGATGTGTCTGCTTCTGAACTTCACAATGTAGCCATTAAAAGTCTCACTTACATTATTTTCAATCATATCACATCTTGGCATGGTAGATATGAATGCTTTGCAGAATCTTCTAGGGTATCTTGAGATAAAATCCTCATATGCATCAGGATCTTCAATTTTCAGATTCTCAAGTGCCAAATTATATGCTGCCATATTAGAACTCAATACTATTTTTCAAAAAATGGACTTAAGTGCTTGGCCCTTGAACTGCTTTTTCCAATTCATGTAGACATGCATTGCACAATTTCTGTGCTCAGCATATGGAGTTAGCACTTCCACAGCATTCATCAGTCCCTGCCAATGTAAGTTCACATCAGTAATTTATATTTTAAAGCTAAATATGGGGTAAACTATAGATAACATTGAAGATTAATTGATATTTACCTTTTGTTGGTCACTCACAAGTGTATATCCCAAACCATCAGTAATTCCCAGATCTTTAAATAAGATAATAAGAAACCATGTCCAGCATTCTTCATTCTCTGACTCAACTACAGCCCAAGCAACTGGGTACATCTGGTTGTTCCCATCTTTGGCTGTTGCACATAACATAGCTCCCCCCAAGAATGTCTTAAGAAAGCAACCATCAAGACCCAAGACAGGCCTACAACCATGAATGAACCCTTTCTTGAGTGCACTGAAGCCAATGTAAAGTCTCTTAAACTGTGTGTCCTCACCAACAAGCAACTCAAATCTACCCTCCTTGTCCACTCTCATTAGTTCTAGTATATACCTTCTGACAGAAGCATAATGTTCCACAACTGTTCCTCTTAGCATCTCTAAGGCTTTCCACTTACCTCTGTACAACTTCCACTTTGATGGGTGAACAACAAAGTTTCTCAGAATATCATCACTGAGTTGGCTAATACTGAAGTTGGGATTCTATCTAAATGTATTCATGTATTCCTCTGCAATCCAATCAGCACTTGCTTGTTTTGTGTAAATGTCCCCGTGACATCTATGATCATTAACAATGGACTTTATGGCAACATTTCCTTCACCTGCAATTACACTAGCATACAATCTCCATGGGCATCCATCCACACACTTCACCTCTAGCAGTTTCTTATTGCTCTTCATATTATGAATATTTCTCCCATTCAAGATTGCAACTTTTCTTACTGCCTTTTTGCACTGAATAATTGACTCAAACCTCATACCTACCTGCAACACAAGTGTTTTGTGATCACAGGCAGGATCATACACTGTTCTGATTTTTTTTCTCCTTAGCCTATTCTCTGTGATTTCATCCTCTTGACTGCTGCTTGAATCAGTCATAAGTGCACACTGGTCATCACTAAAATTATCCATATCAGCTTCATCAGTATGTGCTCCTTGAAGTCCACTGCTTCTAAACTGGTTGAGCCCACTCTCTGAAATATCATCATGAGGTGCAGTCTTCTTATACTTTTTTATGTTCTTTCTTGCTTCAATGTACTCATTATCTTCAGATACAATGTCTTCATCACTAAGGTCATCCTCAGAAGAGCTTTCACCTTGTGGCATGTAGTCTTCATCTTCACTTTCTTCATCTGCAGCTTCTTCATCTGCACCTCCTTCACAGGCACCTTCTTCACATGCACCTTCTTCATCTGGAATGTAATTATCAATGAAGTACTCAAGTTCATCATCTTCATCAACTACCTCTGATGCTGCCCCTTTGCCCTTATTTTTTTGTTCACCAATCTCATCATGTACCTCTGATGCTGCACCTCCACCATCAGTGATTTTTTCACCAACCTTATCATGTACCTCTGATGTTGCACCTCTACCCTCAATGGTTTTTTCACCAACCTCATCATGTATCTCTGATGCCCCTGTACCCTCACCATTCTTTTCACCAACAACACTCTGAGCCTCAGTACACTGGAATTCATTTCCCTGATCCACATAAACCTCAATCATGGTATTATGTTTTGTAGCATGACTATACAGCTCCATCACCCCCACATCATCAAGCACAACCCTCAAAGCTTCTTTACTAAACACTTGGTGAATTCTGTAATATACGTTTTTCCACGTGCTACACCTAAGTTTTTGAATGAGCTCTACCAAATCAAAGTAACCAAATCTATCTGATATGGGATATTATATACTAGACCGGTTTGCAGAACACTCCAAACAGAATAGTATGAGGGTGTGGTCGAGAAGGCGCATTCCAGCGAGAATAGGCGCGGGACCAATCATCCCCCGTTTGTGGGGCAGATTACACGTGCGAGCACATGGACAGATTTGGTCGACAGCCAGAATA